TATATATATATATGTGTGTGTGTGTGTATATATATATATATATATATGTATATATATATTTAAACATTTCTGTTAAATTAGGAAAATGCAAATAAAACCCACTTTTATTTATTTATTTTTCACAGAAATCCATAAGAGAACGTATTGGAGATTTAAAAATGTGCCCAAAAATTGAGATTGTTGCGAATAATCATGTCTGTTTCTCGTTCTATCCAGACCATCAGGAGAAAGAGGAAGGTGCAGATCCCCATGGGGCGCCCGGGTGAACGCGAGACCATGTCAGAGCATGACGAGGACGACGACAGCTATGAAGACGAGATCTACGAGGCCCGGAGCGCACGGAGCGGACCCAGCGCCTGCAGCGGGGGCGGAGCCACGGGCCGGAGAGAGAGGAGTCTGTCCCCACGCTCGGACCGCCACTCTGTGTCCTCCAACCAACCTCCACGCCCAGCCAAGGTCACCCTCATCAAGTCCCGCAAAAATGAAGGTGAAGATGGCCGCTTCGAACCTGCCGACCGGTGTCGCCCAATCACTTTGTCTTCCGAATTATAACACTGTTGTTGCCAAGCAGTTTCACATCACTAAAGGCTCGTTCACACCATGAATGGTAACTATAACAATACCAACTGATGATAAATGTTCTGTTTATTTTAAACTTGTGCAGCAGTTATATCACTTGCTGCTTTAAATGCTTGAAGTCGGTGGATTCTAATTGGCTGTCAATGTTCATCAGCGGGGGAAAATCGTTCTGGGAGTGTTTCCAACAATATCATTCCTCTGTGTCGTTAGAGTTGTATATGTAGACTTCAGTGCAACTTTATCGTTATAATTATTGTCCTTGGTGTGAACAGCCTTAACATGACAAGTTTCCAGCTGGTCTGCCCACAATGAAAGTGAAAATGCTGCACGAAACAACATGATCATATATCATTAAATAAAAGTCTGAGACTGAAAAGTCTGTAAATGCTTTTAATTTGCACTTTTAAATAATTTAAAAGTAATAAAAGTAATTTTTTGAGTAATTAGAGCATGATCCATAAAATTATTAAATTTAAAATATTTTTAAATAAATTGAATTGAATGTACAGTGGTTTCAAAAGTCTGAAACCACTAGTGAATTTGCATTTTTCAAATTTAATAATAATGTTTTTAATTCAAATTAGAGGAATTAATAAAGTCTGAGACTACTTTTGAAAAATGCTTTTAAATTTACACTTTTTCGAATTTAATATAAATGTTTTCAATAGTTTTTTTTTAAAGAAAATTTAAGTTGAATAAAAAGTTGATTTGAATGATTACAATAAAATATGAAGAGTTCATTTGCAAAAACCGATAACTCCATTTTTATTTTTTTTTGAGAAATCAAGTTTTTTTTATTGCGCATTCCAAGTAATATCAATCAAACTGCAGTTGGGTTGTTTTGATTAAGTAATAATAACTTAAACAAATACAGGTAATGAAATTATCCATCCTCGATCACTTTCAGTCAGCTTTGACGAAACTCCTCTCAGCTAGCATGTCTTTTCAAAGTGAAAGTAGTCTTGTCACGTGACCTGAATACAGCGTGCCAATTCGCTAAAATGGACTTATTGGCTTCTGTTCAAAAACAACAAGGGTTCTTGTCAGCTTCTGCAGTAAAATGTGAATTTGCGGTGCCTTGAAAGTGGACAAAACCGACTTTTTTGACAAAACGTGTTTAGGGTTCAGATCGCGCTATATGTGGAGAATAATGCACCTTGAAAGTGGACAAAACCGACTTTTTTGACAAAACGTGTTTAGGGTTCAGATCGCGCTATATGTGGTGAATAATGCACGGCAATCAGCTCTTTTTTTTTCAAGTGGCGTTTATCGGTTTTTGCAAATGAACTTCATATATAATTACAAAAATATTTGTTTTAATTTAGAAAAATGCTAATTAAAAGCATTTTCACTAGTGCTCTCAGACTTGTGCTGTAAACTTTGTTATTCTCACAGAATTACAACTTTCTTTTGTAAGTTGTAATTTTTAAAACTTTATCGTTATAGTCGTTGATCTTAGTGTGAACAGGCCTTAACACAACGTGACAAGTTTCCTGCTGTTTATTCTAAAATTACAGTGAAAACGTTACACGATACAACATAATCATGTCCAGTCAGAACACAGTTGACGTTCGACGTTTATGCCCAGTGACATTTTGCTGTATGCAGGTTTCCATCAGAAAAAAAGCATCTTTATAGCTAACATATACTAACATGGTGTATGTGTTTCTGCGGTTTACTCTGTAAGCAGAATACGGGCTTCGCCTGGCCAGCCACATCTTCGTAAAGGACATTTCCCCCGAGAGCCTGGCAGCCCGGGACGGAAGCATACAGGAGGGAGACGTAGTGCTCAAGGTAAGATGAATGAGCACCTGTAGGAAAGGGGAAACAGATGGAAGGAGTGAAGGGAGTCTATGAAGTGATGAGCGTGACCGAAGTGGCGTATTTAGTGATGTGACGAATTATGAACGAATGCAGACTTTTGCTAATGGAGATGTATGGTGTTGTTGACATCTTTTCGTATACTCTTCGTCTAGATTAATGGCACGGTGACTGAGAATTTGTCCCTGATCGATGCTAAGAAACTGATTGAGAGGTCAAAGGGCAAGCTGAAGATGGTGGTGCAGAGAGACGAGAGGGCGACCCTGCTCAATATCCCAGACATGGATGACAGCATACCTTCAGCTAATGCCTCTGACAGAGATGGTGAGAGAGTCTCTGTACAGCACACATCAAAATGGATTTGATTCGTTCTGTTCAGTTATACCTTCTAGTAGAGCTGGGCTATAAAATGATAACCGTAATTATCGTGATATAATTTTCCTCTATAAAATAAGAAGAGTTCGATGAATGTTCAATATAATGTTTATTCGGCAAAAGCGGAACAAAACAGAGCTACTCATTTGAACTATTTTCAGATTATTGTATTTTGTTTAAAATTTTATTAGACAAATGCTTACTTTTTTTTTCTTACCATACAATAATTTTTTCTTGTTTTAAGCGGTGTTGTTACTGTTAACTGAAACTTGTAAAAATCATTAAAAACAAAGCTAAAATAAAATAAATTAAATATGAGATTAAAAACTTGAACAAACTTTTTATTATAAATGTTGGCTTGGCAACTAAATAAAACAAGTTGAAGTTGAAGTGTGTATATATATATATATATATATAATAATGACCAAAGCACACAACAACATTACTAAAACTTATTAGATAAAAAAATGTAAATAAATGTGTCTTGCCTTAAGGATGTTTAGACTATTTTTGTTGTTGTTACTGGGAAACAAGACAAAATACTAATTGAATTATTTTGTGAATTTTTTTTATTTATTTAAATATGCAATTTTGAGTGTTGTATTATTTTATTCCATTTGGATCTTTTAGGGAATACAATATTCCAATAGCAATAACTGTAACATAACACCTGTAATGGTGTGAAATCATTTGATCTCTTTGTTAGATATTTCAGACATCCACTCCGTGGCCTCCGATCATTCTAACCGATCCCACAACCGGAAGAGGAGCAGCCGCTCTCGTTCTCCAGACCGCCGCTCCGAGCCCTCGGACCACTCTAGACACTCTCCGCCACAGATCAGCAACGGCAGGTCAGATAGCCTTGCTGTTTTTCTCAATTTCTTTGGTTGCTGCCACACAAGATATTTTAGTAAACATGAAATCAGAGGTCCGATTCACGTGACGTAAATGTACCACTTTTCGGAGCCAAATAATCTCCAAATAGTTGGTTTTCGAGGTTTTTTCACCTCAATTTTTAGGTCCTCCTGTCTTTATAATATTCATCAGATTGAGGTGTATTTCAGCTTCAAGAGCTGGAGCTGCAGGCCTGCTCACCGCTGATATGAGAACAGCCTTGTGACGAGAGAGAGTGATGATGAGAGAAGCCTCTGTCAGACGGTACCGCAGCGCTTGACAAAACGCTCCTGTAAATTGGAAGTGTCCTAGATAGATAAACCAGGGTGGGACAGCGGTAGAGGAAGGAAGGAATTTCATCTCCCTGCAAATGTGCCAACCTCCTAAATGAAACCCTAAATTTAAAGGTGAAGTGCGTAATTTTTTCGCCGGTAAAATACTTTGAAGCATCAGTGGGCCATTTGTAGGTTGACTTATGAAGAGATTAAACTCTCGGGCACTATGAAAACAGGCTTCATTTGTTTCTTTGAGCGGCCCAATAGACATCTTTAGGCTCCAATTAGGGTTGCTTACTGTTATCGAACAATATGTTTTAGGCGAAGAAATTACACACTTCCCACAAGCCAGATTTGACCACACACATGTTTGCAGATCCTCAGGTGTGTGAGTGTTCATGAAGTTTCTTCTGATTCTTGTTTTGAATCAGGGCCACAGGGCCGACGGCTCAGAGAACCCGGCCAGTGTAAGTGTTTGGGTCCGGTTAACGCAGCGTCCCGAACATAGCTAACCAAACTAACGCTTTTGTAAGCTTTGCATTAAAGCATGTGATGTGGGCGCTTCTCAAATTGGTGTAACCTAATGTGTGTGTAGTGTGCTGAAATGGTGTTCTTGCTTTACCTGAGCTAGTTGTTCATTTCATCATCCCAACATCTCTCACCTCTGGCTGAAGCCCAACAAACCAACTTGGGAACAGGAAATTCGTTGGTTTGTATGCCCAATCCCAGCATGCATCTGTGACATCAAACATCCATCCATTTATTCTCACTTCTAATGCGAATTCAAAGGACTGGTCTCAGCTGTGTGTTACCTCTTTCCTACTGAGCGAAAACTAAAATAGGGGTGTCTGTTGAAAAACAACAAATACACACATACTCCAAAGGACCTGTGCTGTCAGTTTGGCGGTGCAGGCGAAAACATGCTGCTTTTAACATCTTTTGTAGTAGTTCTTCTCTGCCTCAGAGAGTTCTCGGTAATACTGGCACATCTGCTCAGCCAACCATCCTTGAAAGCCGTCCAATAGGATTGAAGCACCACCTGCCCCGTGTGCGAAGAGTCACAAAAAATTGGAATCTGTGAAGGCAGAGGCTGCTTCCTGAAAGCTTAGGCAGCTGCCTTTTTGCCCATCAATCCAGCTAGATTGTGATTTGAAAACTTTTTTGTGGTATGGATGTCATCACTGAATTCCTGGTTTAGGAACCAATGGGTTTAATGGACTGGAACCTTTTGAGGAGCCAATTTTTATGTCCCCAATCCAATTTTTCTTAGGTGGAAACATGAAATGGTGCCAGAATGGGTATGGCACTGTGCTAACAAAATATGTTCTAAAAAGTTTTAACAAACATTCTATTAATGTTACTGGAAGACGTTTGTTCAACTTTGAGAAAACCTTGCTAGAACCTTTTTAGAACATTCCCTGGTAGATGGGACGTTTG